GTACATGAATCTTACTAAGGTGCCCTATTTCATAAGGAATTTCACCAATCAGTTTGTTGCAGGAAAGGTCTATTCCAGACATGTAGGTGAGAAGTCTTCCCTTGTAAGAATATGCCATATTCTTTGTTGTGAAATGCACTGGTTCACCAACAGAAAGTGTATCCTTGAAAAGTAGTAAAAAAATTGAACCTCTGCCAAAAAGAAGACGATTGTCCTCATAATATAGCTCATCAGTAGTAAGATTTAGGCAAGAGGGTATCCGGCCTGAAAGATGGTTATGAGATAGATCAATCAAGCTCAATCTCTGCAACTTGCATAGCTGAAATGGGATCTTACCTTCAAAATTATTGTTCTTCAAGATAAGATAACTCAACTCACCAAGCATATTGATGCAATCTGGGATGTTACCACTTAGCTGGTTGTCACTAAGGTCTAGCGTTACTAGAGAAGAGCTCTTACAAAACTGTGTTGTTAGTGATCCTTCTAGCCTATTTTTGGATAAATGAACATGAACTATATTCCCTGGGCCGACACATGATGGTAGACTCCCCGAAATATTGTTATTTGAAAGGTCTAGAATTAGAAGATATTGAAGATGACAAAAGTTGATGGGAATTGGACCTTCAAGACCATTATTGGACATGATAATTTCCTGCAAGTATGACATATTTCCCATCCAGCTCGGGATCCTACCAAAGAGATTGTTATTGCTGAAATCTATTAAAGACAGATAGGAGCAGTTAGATAAGCCTTTTGGGATACTTCCAGAAAAGTGATTGCCATTCAACTGTAATTCCTCCAACAGGAATAAGCTAAATTTCTCAGAGAAAATCTGGCCTTGTAGATTGTTGTTTGATAGAATAAGAAAACTCAATGATAAGCAACCCATGGTTAACTTCTCAGGTATTCCACCAGATAAGTTATTGTGAGATAAGTCCAAAGAATGCAACAACTCCATATCACCAATTGAAGGAGGAATGTTGCCAATAAGAGAATTTTCTGAAATGTCTAATTCTAGTAAACTTGGGAAAGATGCTCCGATCTCCATTGGAATATGCCCATCCAAGAAATTTTTGGAGATGCCTAGATCTTCCAAATTCATATGAGAATGAGTTGGCAACTCAATAGGTCCAGAGAGAGAATTGTTAACCAGGGAAAGTGTCTGCAACCTTGTGTTGTTTTCCAACAACCAAATGGGAAACTCTCCAGTTAGGTTAAGGTGCGAGAGGTCTAAAAACTCCAGGTCGTGTTGAGAGTAAAGGAAGTTTGGAATTGCTCCACAATCTCCACAACCAGACAAAACTAAGGTATTTAGTTGGAAAGTTGGTTCCAAAGATTCCATGTTGGTATCTATGTAAAATTCATTATTTTTAGCATCAAGATGCTTGAGTTTTGAATGGTTGAAGAATGGTTGAAGGGAGATGGGAATTCGAAAGTGGTTGTATGAAAGGGACAGGTGATAAAGGGATGTCAATTTGTTAAGGGGTGATAGAGCTATATCTCCAAAAATTTTGTTTGAATTGAGGCTTAAGCTCAGGAGAGAAGTCAAATTTGACAAACATGAAGGCAGGGCTCCCCGTAAATAAGTGTACCTAACATCCAACACTTCAAGATGTGTCAATTCACACAGGCCTGTGAACATATACAACACTTAGAAAGTTAGTCATATAGCTCCAATATATTGAGAAAAAATGGTAAAATTTGGACATTGGTTCTTATTTGGTTAAATTTGTGACTAACCTTGGACTGTTAAGGAGTCATTGAGTCCGTGGCCGTACAGTGATAGAACCTTGAGAGAAGTCAATGCTCCAATGTCCTGAAAGAAGTTGGTTGGGAGGATAGAATAATCTAGGAACAACTCTTCCACTTTGGACAAGTTATGAGAACCTAATAAGAAAAGCAATTAATTATATTCTTGCAATCGTCTGTGATAATTAATAAATTTAGAGCAAGAACATATATTTCTAAGAAAAATATTCTAAGAAGATGGAAAAGAAATTACACTAAAGATGAAAATTTACCATAAAAATTTTTAAGCCAATAAAATATAACAAGATGGCGCATTTTTGAAAGGAAAAATTATAATTGTAATAATAAAATGGAGACAAAGCAAGCTTACCTCTTTTACTCGGGTTCATTTTTATTTCACCATCTCCTAGGGATACAGCTTTTAAAGATGGAAGAGCTGCCAAAGATGATAGGATGTTGTAGCTGAAGTTTATTCTTCCCCTTAGGTCAAGCACCTCCAAATGGTCAAGTCTTGACAACTTTTCTAAATCAGCTGTTACAAATTAACAATCAAAGCTTGTTGTCTATCAGCATCTAATTTTGCTAAGCATATAACATAAAATTAAAACCGTATCATGGTTTGAAGCTAGTTAGTTGTTCTAGTTACCACTCAAGGATGATAAGACACTATGGTCCAACTTATAGTGATTTAGATTGAGGATTTACAAGTTTTCTCAACATAGAAAAGGCTCTCAAAAAACATGTAATACATATAATTATTTATTCAGTTTTGAAGTCACATATATATTAAGATGAAAAAATAAGGACATGGGTTCTATAAGAGAGAGGGGGGCATCTATACCATCAGTATGGCTGGATGCTTGAAATTCGTCTTCGGCTAGATATAAAAACTTGAGAGATGGAAGCTCACTCAAAGATGATAAGATACTATTATTGGTCAACATATTGTAACTTAGATCGAGGAATTCCAATTTTCTTAATTTAGAAAACTTCTCAAAACCTGCAATACATACAATTACTAATTCAATTTGGAGCCACATATATATTAAGATGAAACAATAAGGAAATAGGTTTCAATAAGTAAAAGGTGGATATCTATACCATCAACATGGTTGGATGCTTGGAGTTTGTTGTGAGCTAAATTTAGAGACTTGAGAGATAAAAGCTCTGTCAAATATGACAAAATGCTGTTATTGAAGAAATTTTCTTCCAAGTCAAGGATTTCTAAATGGCTCAACTTCTTCGAATGTTGAAGAAACCCTGCACGAAGATCACAAGAATTGTAATTTTGGTTCAATTAAAAAAATAACACATAAATAAAATGTAGGATAGGATGACAATAATGAGATGAATACACCAATCATATACATATTGAAATGCTCGATCGTTGATATTCACAATATTAGCTAAGTTGAACGGTAGATAAAAACCTTCATTTTCAATATGCAACTAGCTATTCAATTAAAATTTAAAGTGAGACTTCAATTCCTCAAATAGAAGAAACAAAGAGGCATTCAAATACATGTCAATGAAACTACCACTATATGCTTCAGCCTGTGTGAAAGTAGGGATGAGTGAGATGACTAGTCTTGTGGTGAAAGTTGCAATCAACCTTCTTCCATTGACAATAATCTGTATTTTTCCTCTCCTCTCACCCAGTTTCTTAGAGAAAAAATAGAATTGAAGAAACGTTTGAGTTGGAGGAGAGCAATTCACTATCAGTCCCAAAGCCCTTGGTACCACTGCCAATCTACTAAGAAGAGTGTAAGTAGCACGTACATTAACCATTTCAACTCCATCAAAATAAGCTCAAATCAACCGCCAAGTACTGCTATTATATATCTCCAGGCCATTACCAGCAATTCACTTTAGACTTTTATATACACAAGTAAGCATCTATTCTATGATTCCATTTTTTGTCATAAATGGGTTCTGCACATTCTTAATTCAACTTAGCAGTTTCCACTTTCCACAACAATTATATTTATCCTTTTTCTTTTCCCTTTAATTCCTTATTTCATTAAAAATATATTAAAAAAAATCATAACAAATTGGCTTTTATTGAGATGAGATTATCACAGGAAGGAAGAATTTATACCTTCATTATTAATAAATGGATTAATTATATTGAAAAAAAATCAAAATGGTAATTGAAATTATTGACTTTAACGTCCTACTATAAAGCATAATGGCAAAACTGTACCATAATTTGATGCTAGTAAGTTGCTCCTGGCTAGATTTAGAGACTTGAGAGATGGAAGTTCACTCAAAAATATTAAGGCACTATTGTTCAATTGATTGATAGATAGATCAAGAATTTCTAGATTTTTTAACTTGGAAAGCTTCTCGAAACCTGTAAAATGTACAATCATTAATTTAATTTTGGAGCCACACATAAATATTAAGATGAAACAATAAGGAAACAGGTTTCTATAAGTAAAAAAAGGACAATTATACCGTCAACATGGTTAGATGCTTGGAAATTGTTGTTGCCTAGATATAAGGACTTGAGAGATGGAAGCTCACTCAAAAATGTTAAGATATTATTATTCAATTGATTGCCAGATATATCGAGAATTTCTAGATTTCTCAATTTAGAAAGCTTTTTGAAACCTACAAAATGTACAATTATTAATTCAATTTTGGAGCCACACATAAATATTAAGATCAAACAATAAGGAAACAGGTTTCTATAAGTAAAAAATGGAGAATTATACCATCAGCATGGTTAGATGCTTGGAAATTGTTGTTGCCTAGATATAAGGACTTGAGAGATGGAAGCTCACTCAAATATGTTAAGATATTATTATTCAATTGATTGCCAGATAGATCGAGAATTTCTAGATTTCTCAACTTAGAAAGCTTTTTAAAACCTGCAAAAAGTACAATTATTAATTTAATTTTGGAGCCACACATAAATATTAAGATCAAACAATAAGGAAATAGGTTTCTATAAGTAAAAAAAGGAGAATTATACCATCAGCATGGTTAGATGCTTGGAAATTATTGTTGCCTAGATATAAGGACTTGAGAGATGGAAGCTCACTCAAAATTGTTAAGATATTATTATTCAATTGATTGCCAGATAGATCGAGAATTTCTAGATTTCTCAACTTAGAAAGCTTTTTTGAAACTTGCAAAATGTACAATTATTAATTTAATTTTGGAGCCACACATAAATATTAAGATGAAACAACAAGGAAACATGTTTCTATAAATAAAAAATGGAGAATTATACCGTTAGCATAGTTAAATGCTTGGAAATTGTTGTTGCCTAGATATAAGGACTTGAGAGATGGAAGCTCACTACAAAATGTTAAGATATTATTATTCAATTGATTGCCAGATAGATCGAGAATTTCTAGATTTCTCAACTTAGAAAGCTTTTTGAAACCTGCAAAATATACAATTATTAATTTAATTTTGAAGCCACACATAAATATTAAGATGAAACAATAAGGAAACAGGTTTCTATAAGTAAAAAATGGACAATTATACCATTAGCATGGTTAGATGTTTGGAAATTGTTGTTGGCTAGATATAGCGACTTGAGAGAGGGAAGCTCACTCAGAGATGATAAGATTCTATTGTTCAATTGATTGCTATATAGATTAATAATTTTCAGATTCCTCAACTTAGAAAGCTTCTCCAAACCTGCAATGTGTAAAATTATTAATTAAATTATTAATTTAATTTTGGAGCCACACATAAATATTAAGATGAAGCAATAAAAGAACAGGTTTTTATAAGTAAAAAATGTACAAATATGGTATCAGTATGGTTAGATGCTTAGATACTGTTGTTGGCTAAATATAGACACTTAAGGGATGAAAGCTTACTAAAAGATGATAGGACACTATTGTTCAATTGATTGCTTTTTAGATTAAGGATTTCCAAATTCCTCAACTTAGAAAGCCTCTCAAAACTTGCAAAACAATTTCTTGCAACATTCAAGCTAATTAATAATTCAGTCTTGGGAGCCACAAATATAAAAATTTGAAACTACACTAAAAAATAATAAAGATGAAACGATAACAATTGGTTTTTTTTTTTAAAAGTAAAAGATGAAATAAGGTTGAAAGACAGATTAAAACCTTCTTTTTCCATGCAACCAGCTATTTCATTTCCAGCCAAATGGAGACTCTTCAATTCCACAAATGGAAGAAACAAAGACGCATTTAGATACATGAAATTCTCCAATTCCATAATGCCATCCGGTATATACGTGCCACTATCAAATTCTTCTTCGGACCATGAGTAATTGAGATTGAGTGTTATAACTCGTCCAGAGGTAGAGTTGCACTCAATCCCCTCCCATTGACAACAATCTAAATTTTTCTCTCCTCTCCCCCAGTTTCTTAGGTGCGCAACTTTAGTGAAGAAAGGCTTGAGTTGGAGGAGAGCAGTTCTCTCTTGGTCCCAACACCCTTGGCACCACAGCCCTTCTAATAAGAAGAGTGTAAATAACACATAAATTAACCATTTCGACTCCATCAAAATATGCTCAGATCAATCACCAATTAAGTACTGCTACTGTCTCCTTGCATTACCGGCAACACGCCTTTAACCTTTATATACACAAGTAAGCAAAAGCAACTAGTCCATGACTC